TGCGTGACCGATCTCATGAAATGTTGGCCAAAATTCTGGAATGCGTTTCTGATTATGAAGGATTACTTAAGTGGGGTTTTTATACCGATTATCTTGCAGTATAACCCTATAACATTTCGGGCTCGCCAGGATGTCGGCTTTTGAATGAATTTCTGTTTGACCTCCTGTAAAAACATACTCGGTAAAAAATGACTACTTAAGTAGCATGTACTTTTCCTATTGATTTTTGATGGTGTTATGAATTAAGAAATCATGCATAAATATGCTCTTTTGCTCATTTGGTAGGAAATCACATTGTCTTCATATGTTGTGCCCGAAGAAAGTGTGTATTTTGGTTTTAAAAATTTTCTAATCATGAGATTTTTAAGACCGTGCGATGTCCATGAATGCAAGACCGCACATGTCCGTTTACTAATGTTCCTCATGAAATGTACAACACAGTCCGGATCCCTTGCGAAATTTCATGAACTCAATGTGGTATCTGCTAAAAGGCGTAAAGGAATGTATGATTTTCTTTACGCGGAAAGCATGCACCCTGTAGACTGAAATTGCCAAACGTTGATACAATGGCAGATCAGGCTTAAAATTATTCGGCAATTGGGAAACTTTTTAAAACCTAAAAACACACTTTCTTCGGGCATAAACTATGAGGACAATGTGATTTCCTACCAGATGAGCGAAAGAAAGCATTTTATAGGTGCTTTATAAAATATAGTTGGATTTATAGGACTATCGAAAATCAGTGTGAAAAATGCCTGCTACGTAAGTAGTCTTTTTACTGAGTGCGGTTTCTGCAGTAGGTCAAAAGGAAGTGCATTCGAAAGCCAACATCCTGGCGAGTCCTAAATGTTATGGGGTTATGCTGCTTGATAATCGGTATAACAATCCCACCTAAGTAACCCTTCCTAACCGGAAACGCATTCCAGAATTTTGGTCAACATTTCATGAGATCGGTCACGCACTGTAGACTGTAAAGACAACTACTTACCTGAACTAGAAACATGCGCAGATTTTGTTCGGTTGAGATCGGCATAGACATCACTTCAAGGCGTGCTCAACAATGCCTGGAAGGGATCTAGACTTTGAGAGCGGTTCATTTAGCCATCAGGCACTTCGGAGTCAGGCTCTCTACAGGTTGGGTTGCGAGTCCACATCCCATGAGTTCTCTTCTGAACTGTTCAAGGTCATGTGAAGCTGGCGTTTACTTTGGTGGCAGAACGGAAATGTGTTCAAGCTTCAGTTGCCAGTCTGCGGTGAGGACATGGATGGCCAATAACGGCGAATAAGCCGGAAGTGGCCAGTCCAGTATCATATGTCTTCATCAGTAAAACTTCCCTAAGATTAACTGTCTGTCGCTGTGTTACTGGCAGCAATGACTCTAGACGCAGAACGCCAAGGCTTACTGACGATGTTATTTTCGGTCCTAAAGTCATCGTGGATCGTTTACCGTCAGGCATGCAAAAAGAACCAAATTAGAAATGTCCCATGCTGTTACGCAGAGGACAAAGGGGACTGGAGGAGAAAAGTTTTTACTGTGCTAACTGCCGTACTAGTACGAGCTTCTAAGATCCTCTGTCCATAGCGCCTTACTGAAGACCAACTTCATTGTCGAACTGGTGCACACTGATTAGTCCGTATCTGACAAAAACTAGGGCGAAGGTGCCCGATGGGTGCACGCGCCAGAAGATCGCCTAAAGCTATGGACGTGCTGATTGGCCAGCTACTGTGCAGCGTACAGGTTTCCTGGCCAGGACGCAAACATCGATCGACAGACTTTGCACTTTGGTTTTGGTGCCGCCTCACCATCGCCCGCCTTTTTGAAAAGGCCCCACCCATTGAAAAGGTCTTTGAATCTGCGACCCTCCCTTTGCATTTGACTTGAAAAATAAAGCTTGAGCAAAACAAAACTTTCGTCCCGGGCGACTGCATGTAGATATTGGCGCAGGAAATTGTCACCTCGGCTATTTTTAAGTCAAGGAAAAGGTGGTCAGGTGACAGCACAATACGTTATAAGCAGAGCTGAGTTGCAATTGCCTTTTGCTGCAAAGCCTTTTCTATTTAGCATCTGCACTAAAAAGCGTTTAAATGGGTGTGAGTTCTGCTGTTGAGTGACTGGTCATTAGTGTTTTATGCCTCCATTCGTGTGCTATAGCTTTGACACGAAACGCCAATTCAATCAGATATGTTAGACACCCAAGTAATTGGACGAAAGTGTCTGGGTACACTGTTCCCCGAATAAACCCTGTCCGCTGTGTATGTATACGCGCATAGCTGTCACAGGTAGCCTAAACTTTCTAGCCCTGAGTGCCTGCTCAGTTTGGTCTTATTTCAGAACGCTATCAACGTCACGATCGACCACAATCTCCGCCTTTGTCGCAGAACGGTTGGCTATGTCACTGCCTTCATGTCGTGACGGGAGGATGAGAGAGAAGAAAAGCGGGTTCCAGAAGCAACCACTTTATTCTCTCAGCCCGCGTAACACGATTTCTAACTCGGTTAAACTCGCCGTGACTAGATGACTCCTAAGGGTTCTAGGACATTCTGGTATGCGGCATGCTGGTCGATTATTGGTCGACCAATCATCGCTCCTCGCGCGAGCGTCCCCTCGCGGCAAAATCTCCAATGTTTGACCGGCGGTTGATTGATTTGCACGCGTAGGCAAAAACATCATGCGTGCTCGATAATGTAGCACAGGCTGATTGGTCAGCTGGTTGCCCGCATGCACCCCGCATACAGGTTGAAGTTGCACGTTGGTCCGGAGAAAACACCCACAAACGGGTCACGAGGCTAGAAAAGCCAACGCGGTACGAGAGCTGAGGAGTTCACCACGCTATCACGTTCGGCTCTTAAAAAACAGCTGCACTGGCGGGGAGTTCAGACTATTCCAGACGTCGCTGGAAATTACGATGGACTTAACTGTCTTACCCACTATATAAGACACTATGAGCCAAGCCGAGTAACCGTACGAATGGCAGCTGATCGGGTGATGACAGTAGTATTCGCCTATCAGTTTGTATAATTGACTTTTCGTCTTGGACCAAAGAACAGTAGGCACGGTCGTCCTCCGGAAAGAAACATTTTCCTAATAGAAGCTGTGAGGAAGAAAGACGCCAGCACCCAAGTCGCGGCTCACTCGACAGGACCCAAACACACATTCAAGTTTGACGAAGCATAAATTCTTGCCAGAGATGACAACCGCGTGAGTCGCAAACTGCTCGAGTCACGGTTCTCCGGTCCTCAATAAATCAACAATCGCAACGACCTCCCCTCTCCATATTCGGCATTGAGACTTTGCCTGGACGAAGTAGTTGACCGCGAGGAGAGAGTGCGGATGGCCACTGTTCCTGGTGTCAATATCGGCGAGTTAAATCGCCCAAGCGTCCACACGGATGACGAAATCTGGCCGTCAGAAACTCGACTACGCGCGATGAGCGTGGGGATCGACAATCTTGACCAGGACACAGGCGCATAGAAACTGCACGGTAACTGCACACTTCAATACCTGGCCAGTCGAGCCGTGATGCACTCGGGAGCTGCCAACAACGATGGGCATGTAGTGAGTGGCCTAGCAACTACATCCTATAAATACTGCAACACCTGGGCAATTTACCACCCCTACCTGACTCTGTCTCTGATGATGGAGTCGAGTGAGAATCCGAAGCGTCAAGCTAATAAAGCTCTTGTTCCAGAGATCGTCCTTCTTCGCACAAAAACATGTTCGCAGTTGGTGGAATCACCAGAGCATCCGGTACGAACTGTGCCTTCGGCTGAATTTAAGAGAAAAAGTAACTATCAGACTTGCGAAGACTAGTAAAGAACACGAGCAGGCATGTGCAACGATCAAATTAAGTTGATAAACTCTTCAGGGAGTCTCCGCTGTAAAGAAGAGGTGTAGGAATTTAGGATCATGGAGGCCTGGCTGTCAATTTTGTGAGCAAGGCTTATAAGCCAGTAAGAGAGATGAGTTTTCGAAGCTTGGCGGATGCCTTTGAGGAGAACAGAGGTCGTCGTCTGAGCGACGCAAATTGTCTGGAACGTCACATGACTGGTGTCTGCTAGCCAGGTGAACAGTCTGGACCGTTAAGAGCCGAATCCACCATCAGCCGTCAAGGGCTTGCCTCAACTTGTTGTCCGGCCTTTAAGGGGTCACACCGGGACGACGCTGGACGCCTGGCTGGTCGCTCCCACCCACTTTTCTTCGTAAGGGTGGTGGCCTAGTTATTGGACGGCGTCCGCCAGTAAAATTATGCGCACTCGTTGGACTACCATTGCTCTTCTGTCAATTTTGCCCTTGCTGGTAGAGAGTGCCGAAATCGCAGCCCCAAGGGCTTTGGGATTGAGCAGTTTGTGATTTTCCCTATCCAACCACAATAGGCCATCTGCTTATCACACAACGGGGAGACAAGCAAGCGAGACATACACGTTAAATGACGTTCCTGCATAAATATCACAGAGGTTAAACTCTTCGAGAGCGACAGCTGGGCTCGCGGATTACCCTTAAAACCGCCGCGACAGTTGGCTGGCGGCTGGCGGTGAGGACAACAGCTGGCCTGTGAGTTGGGCGCGGCAGTGACTAGCGTGCGACTTTGTTTATAATGAAGCATTCATGAGCTGCATCCCTCTCACCTCCTCTTCCCCGACTCACCACGTTCTGGCAGCCAGACGACTTCAAATCGGCCGAACGTGTGTGCGCGTCTACTTGTGACACACACACACGACCTGATCTCCGCCTTCACGCGTGCCCATCTTTCGGGAAGTGTATATGACCTTACCCAGGCGAGGGAACTGTAAAGGCCAACCAAATTGAGATGAAGCCACTGCAGTCTGGCCCCGTCCCGAAGGTGGGCCGAGCTTCCGCGTCAGTTGGCAGTCCTCTAAGCCACGACTTCTATTGCGTCGTGATATTCCCAACTGCTTCGGATTTACCGTAAAAGTAAGCAGACTAAATTGTCATTTGGGCGGCTGCATAAGTTTTGGTTTCATTCCAGCCTACTTTTCACATGCACCTCCAACTGGCCTTCCAAATGGCTGGTGACGAGGTTAGGTGCAATGGCTGACAGGACACGTATCCCATACACATCTCGAGTCAGACAGGAGCACACTCAAGACAGTTCAACCGCCAGTTTCGACAAGGTCCACCGTATGCCTGTCCAGCCGTTGGCGACGCAGATAGCCCTCATAACCACCACGTCCTGTCGGTCTCGCCTCCGCCGCAAATGATCAGGGGTGTATCCAGGTCGCCATCTCCTACAGTCGAAAAGCCAAATTAGCTATTGGTGAGAAGACGGCAGCGTTCTGCGTAGCTTTAGAGGAGGAGGAGGAGGAGGAGGAGGAGGAGGCCGTTGTCGTTACAGCCGCCGAGTCCATGGGCACCCTGCGTCCCCTCTCACACAGTGAGGCCTGTCTCAACGCGGGTATTGAAGCCACCAAGGACAAACAGCTCGTTCGCTTTCGGAAAAGTAGCCAAGAGGACGTGAAAGTCCTCGGAGAAGTTGTCCCTCACCTCGTCGACGCTGCTCAGCGGGAGGGGGCTGGCGTAGACACTGACGATGGTGGCTAATCTGGCTCCCTGTAGAGGCAGGCGCAGGCTCGTGAGGCTGTCGTTGATGTCTGGCGACAGGCAGGGTATTCTCCCTATTATATTCTACCGGACGGCAAAACTCGACGCCAGCGTCGGATCGCCCTGCCTTTGGATGACCGTTCCGGAAGAATGCGTAGGCGGCGCCCAATGCATCCCGCTGACCCTGTTCGGAGAAGCGGGTCATGGTGTGAGCAGCGATGTCTACCTTATGGTGCGCTAATTCTCAAGCGAGTAGCATTGTCCCCGTCCCCGCGGACTGCTCCGCAGATTGCCTGAAAGACAGCGAACATTCCGGGCTACCTAATTGATCAGACTGACTCCTGCACCAGGTGAACTTGGACGGAGACAGTGGGGACGAGCGTTATTTGTTATATTGTTTCCACTATAAGATGTACATCTGTAAACCACGGTCTGCGTGCAGACGGTGTGATTTCTCAGTATTTGTTTAAGGCACCTTTTCCTGCGAGGGGCTAAACATGGACGTCGCTAAATAGCGTTACTTGGACATCCCAGACGACTATCATATTATGCCACGGGTCACAGCTTTGTGTAGTGGAGAGCGACCCGTGTTAAAATGGGTCCACCTACGGAATTGCATTTCGCCCTCTTTGTATGACTTTTGGAAGTGGGGAAGCGGAAATGTGGGCATAATCGCCGGCTGCGAGGGCACACGAATCCCAACCCTCTCATTTGGTTTGGTCCGCCGATTGAGGTGGTTCCCCGGTTGTGGCCGATAGGCAGAGCCCAACTTCAAGAAGCCACAGGTGAGAGTCAGGTACCAGTTTAGAACCGTGCGGAGCAGTTACCACTCGCACGATGTGACCTACCACACCTTTACGGTTTGTCCAACAACTAGGCACCCCAGGAACACACCCACACCCCTAACTTGGCCCTCATTGTGGACACCGGAAAACACCACTTCGGTCTTGATGGGTACTCGGAATATGTGTGGGAATGACCAGAATGACTCGTATGGTGATGGAATGTGTGGGACGCTAAGAGCCTGAGTGATGGGTGACATCTAGTGACCACTTTAATGTGTCCGCATATGACCATAAAAGTCAGGTGTTTGTGTGTGGGTGCAGTGTGGGCAGGAGGAGCTTGTGTGACCAATGATGTGTGAAACTCAAGGCTAGGGTTCTGCAGTCGTGCTGCCATGGATTCGCATGTGTCCGACAGGTTGATGCATGCTTGGAATGTGCGACCACACTGAAATCCGTATTACTGACGCCTGTCCTCTCTATCCTGGCGGAGACCCCCTACTGGCGGCTACGAATCGGGCTTGGAAAGCGGTGTTGCAGTGATAACAGGTTAGAACGATGTCTTCAATGCAACCGGGTTCAGTTTCGCTGGTGACATCCTCCCATGAGGCGGTCTCCGCGGGTAGATCTACAGTCTTATTTTTAGGACGACAGGGTGGTGACCAGTACAGCGCGCAGACAACGCCGGGTTCTGGTCTCGAGCACGTCAAGAGAACCAAGCCCTCTGACGAGCATGAAGTTCAGCAGCTACCATTGACGAGATCGTGGTTACATCCGTGGCGTCTTCGTGCAATTGGAAAGTCGAAATTTGATGTTGGTGACGGGAAGGTTGTATACGGCGCAGGTCCTCAACAGAAGGCATTAACTGGCGTTGAAATGGTCTGCCTCACGACAAGCAGCCACCCCCTCCCAGGTGGCCTGCTCTATGTCCACTAGGATGTTGGAAGGAACGGTTGAAGAGAACCATTTTACTCAGCTTCGGCGCCGACGTGTGTAGAGCGCCAAGATATTCTTAGAACTTCTCGGTGAGCACTTATGCG